TAAAATAACTTTTTCTCTATTAATTCAGAACTATATATAAGTGATTTTTACTCAGGATGTTCCCTAATTTCGAACATAAGCTTATTTAGTTCCCTAGAATCAAAAATGTCACCGGGTTGACAAAACAATTCGGTACCATCTGGGTAATAAGTAAATATGAAAATTTTACCAAATTTACTTTACTGGAGATAATTATCTCCAGGATGTGATTTATTTCCTGCTTAGATTTCCCCGACCTGTGATTGCTTTCTCTGCGTGTTTGTATTTATTTTGTAGGTACGTGGTCCTCGGAGTAATTACGGGATTTGCTTAGTTTTCCCCCATTTGTTTGCCTTGCACTGCAGACTGGAAGACAAACAGGTAACGAAAATCCACTGCAGCGGATGAGTGGAATAAATAAAGGGGAGAGAAAGCGGCCCGAGTGAAAGCGAGCGAGTGGATGAGGAAGCATTAAAAGGACTTTCACTCTGCAAGGAAGGGATCCCATTCGGAGGCTCATTCTCTGTTTGCTTGCCTACTTATTTGCTTTGTCCTTATTTTCCAGAGGGTTTCACGAGTCCCAGGGTGGCAGGGAAAATGGTTTTTCTCTATTTTGATGGTCTATATTTATCTAGTTTAAGGTAGGACTCGATGACGACTCGACGGCAAAATCGGCACGTTTTTGATCATTTTGTTCGGTTCTTGGAATTTATTTTAGAATTCGGGACGACAAGTTTCTAGTCAGTGAGGTGATTGATAGAATGAGGTGAGTTTTTAAGCCAGTTTAGACGATTTCTAATTTTTCGGAGGACTTTCCTCCTTCCAAAAGTATCAAAATCTGGAGTGTATTTTTGAAAAATTGGAATGATTTGCTCTGAAAACTTATCGTTAAATTCCTAGTGTTTAGAAATTATTAAAAATGTAATAAATTTGACGATGAGTCGAGTCATCGAGTCCTACGTTATCCAGATTTTACATAAATTTGAAAAAAGTGAGATTTTGAATAAAAAAAGACAAATTTCAATTCGAATTCTTCCAGTGGAAAGCTAAATAGATGAAAATTTTGTTTAGTTTTTATCAAATTCGTATCATTTGAAAAACCAAAAACTGCCATGACGAATGACGAAAACGAAAAACGAATGACGACCATGTTTCTCCTCCTCTATGCAGGGGGACAAAGAAAAGAAAGAATAATAGAATAGAATTTCGCTGAATGTAATGAAAAAGTTGTGTGCGTCACGATCCGGACCAAATGCTGTCAAGCCGTTACTAAATTTTTGTAAGGTTCCCAATTTTATTTTATGGCGAAATGAATGATGATTTCTTACTTACAAAGAGTGTGAAATGGCGGGGATTCTAGTTTTAGCCCGCTTTATTACAGAAATTATTACGAAATTTGTAAATGAAGAAATATAACATGTAAGGAAACATTTAAAATCGAAGGTTTTTACTCCGTCTCATAAAAACACAGTCAAAATATTTTTTAAAGTGTAACTTACGAAAGAAAATTCAATTTGAGAAATTATGACGAAATCGAGAAATTAAGGAGAAAATAAGTAACGACATATTACACTTTCCTACGTAACAGTCCAACCAAATATTTTAAATTGAAAGTACAAACTTTTTTTCGTAGTATAAGGAATAAGTTTGTGCAAAAATTTAACTCTTGAGCGCAGACAGACACAAACTTTTTTTTTTCTTTTCTTGGAGGAGATCAAAAGTTAATCCTGTTTTGGAAAGCGATTTCGCTTTTACTTTCACGGTATCGTCGCAACGAGCAAATAATAATTTAGCTATGGTAATAAAATGTTAGTCTGGGGGCTGTTCAAAGATAACGGTTTCAGGGTAGGATAGGATACCCGGGTAAAAATTTGGACAGCTTTCTGAAATTGACCAAATTTCCTGCAGAAAAAAACTTTATACAGGAGCGAATTGTGGGTAAAACTATGCTTAGAATTTTGCACATATGGTTTTGCAGAACAAAACGCATGGAAATTTTATGTAAAAAAAGTATGCAAAATACAATATGCATAGAGTTTTTATTTCTACTCGGTCCCTAGAAAAAATATGAAACGCGTTCCGGCAGAAATTTGGATTAATTTTCTACAAAAAACATTTTATAGCGGTTTACACAGAAAACTGCAGAATTATGCATATGTCGTTCTGTAGAATAAAACCGATAGAAATTTTCTAGAAGATTATGTAAACTAAATTATGCAGAATGTAATATGCATCGAGCTTTTGTCGATTACTGTAGAATTCGACACGTTGATTTCTACTCGTAATAAAATCGCGTACATTTTGCTGACGCGATGTAGGGACGGTCGGACGGAAAGAGGAATAAAACTTTATTCAGGGTTTAACTTGGCTGATAAAAATGTATAGGCTGCCATTTTCCGTCGGCAGAGAAAGTTTATGCTTTCTGGGTGGTCGTTATTGAGTTGAAATGTCATTTTAAGTGTCACTCATCCAACTTCGTTTTTTCCTGGTTCTTAAATTTCTGGATAAACTAGAAATGAAATTGCGACAATATTCTAAGTAAATCAAAGTTTTGAAACGAAAATAAAATAAAAATAGGAGGAAAGTTGTGCCATATTTGAGTTAAAATTATGTACACGATTTTTGTAAAATGATGAAATCACAACTTTTGTCCCGGGCCAATTATTGAATTTTGTACAAACGGTAAAGTTCCTCACTTTGGAAGACAACTCTTGCAACGATGTAACAATATTTCTCTCCAAATTATCTCCTAATTGGGAGACATCGAATTATTTACATTTGCCTGGCCAATTTTTTTTTGCTCTGAATTATCTATTCGTCAAATTCCATTTCCTGGAAAACTGATGGAAAGTTGAGACATAAAGTTCCATCCAACCGTGTACGTATGTATGCAAATTAGGCAGTCATCGTTACTCCGGATGGATGCATAAGTGGCAAGTGCTTCCTTACAGAAAATGTGATGGAATATGTACGACACGAGGGGCCGCGCATGTGTGGTGTGACACGCAAATTTGTGGCAAATTTTACAATCCCGGGATTGTCGTTTTCTTTAGAAAATGAGGTGAATGGCATCTTTTTTGCACGGCACGAGAATAAATTTTACGACGCCGTCGTGCTTAATGTTTGACGGAATGGACACTAATATTGTGATGAGATGCAGTCCCCTTTTACGAGCTGGGTTAGGCATCGTACATGTATTATGTCAGCGAAAAGGTGGGTGTTTGGTTTTTGGTCGCGTAGGTATTGTATGTACTCGTGTTAAACTTAAGATGAGTATAAGTTTGGTGGTCTAAAAATCGCATTTTTTTGATAACATAATATATGGACGTTCCCCACCAAGTAAGCATAAAATATATGTAAAAGTAAGAAGATGTGGATGACTCAACGGTAAATAACGTAGATATGAGAGTTGCTAATAGTTTGTTACCTCTTTACGTTTTTTTAGCCTTTATTTAGATTTATGCATAATTTTCTAGTTTTATTTTTTTACTGGTTTGAGCTCTGATTAATCAGTATAACTCGGAAAATAACAGGTTGTACAAGTTTTCATTTTACGAAACAGAAATCGTCCATTTATCTTACCAGTTATTGAGAACTTCGATGTCACCGTTATTTTTGAGGTTACACGTCAATAACGCCAGTACGATTGGGATTGTGAAATTGAAACTAAAATCTCCAATTTTACACCATTGATTGGTCGGTCTCTCGGGATACGCACAGAATAAAGAGAGAGGGAACGAGAGTGAAAAAATCAAAATATTTACGTATTTAAGTTGCAAATTGAAGTATTTATAGGTTGCAAATTTTTGCAACATTTTGCTAGCAAATTGAATTTGAAGGTGATAATAAAAAAATTGGTGAAAATCATGACATGACAAAAGTTAGTTAGTTAATGAATCGATTATTAAGATAATAAATATGGATGCAAATAAAAGGGTGCATGCATTAAAAAATCTTCTCCTCCTCGGGTTATATACTTAATTTCGTCGTTAAGTTATATTTATTTTCACTCCGCTGTTTGTACCCTTTTTTCTTTACTATTCGTTCAAAATTACATAAAAAGGAGTGAAGTACTCAAAATTTTTAAACGGTAAAAAAACGGCCAAGCAAACTAGTTTTTTAAACGAAAATCAAGGTGAAAATCGGAAAATATTGGAAATATTTTTAAACAAAACCACGTCACTGAAAGGAATCATCTACCAAATAACCTTTCATATCCTTTACAGCGTATTAATTTTGAATGAATGCTTACAAAATCTCAAAGTTTCCCAAAAATTTCGAGGAGGGCAAGATTTTTAGATTTTTAGTTTATTAGTAAAATAATTAATTTCATAACGAAGTAATTAATTAATGAATAAATCTTCAATCAAACTCGTCCATAGAGAAGTAAGCTAAATAATGAAAGGAACTTATCCGAACAAGTCATACGTATAATGTCGACCCAAACAAAATTTATTTACTAGGAGGCTGATAGAGAATAATTGACTACACTATTCTAATTAGAGGAGGGAAGAAAAAGGGGGATATTTAAATAGGAGCAGTATTTAGTAACAACTAGCTAACTAATAGTTTGGGGCGTCATTTTATCAAGCTTTTACTTTCTTGCTGGCTTGCTCACTAAGACATTCTCACAAAAAAGTACGGGGGATATGATACTCAAAACTAGATAATCAAAAGTGAAAGCTCGGAAGGGGGGAAAAATTATGTCGTAATTTTTTAGGAATTTTATTTGGATTTAACTACAAATTTGGGAAAAGTCGTGGAGAAAGATTTCTCTTTTTACATGAGAAATATTTACGATGGGAAAACTAAGAATTTTTTTAAGGAAAAGTTTAAAAGGATGAGCGAGAGAGAGGAGTCTGCTATTCTATTTTGGATCTATGGCTTTTAAATTTGGCGCCATTTAATTTTTGGTACTGGGGTTTTGTAGGATGAGAGAGAGAGGAGTCTGCTAATCTAATTTATGGATGGATTTTAAATTTTTGGCGCCATTTTTGGTACTGGGTGCCTCACCCACTTACCATTTTAACGTCATCAATTGTCGCTATGCTTCTCACATACAAGTTGACACTAACGATCGTGGGGCCTACGGCATAATAAAATTCGACAAGGTAAAAATATTATTTCTTCGTAACCTGGACAATCTTTAGAGCGTCGTTTAAGTTTAAATAATTTGCATATTAATATTATTCCGTTGTCTTGGTTACGTTAAATTAAAATTAACATTGTTCCGTTGTCTTGGGTAGGCGGATAATTAATTTTGGTTATTTAGTGCAGAGGTCGACGCCGAAAAAGCGACAAAATTGGCCGCCGAAGGCAATTGGTCGGCGTCAACGTATGATTCAATGGTAATTTTTGTAGCCATATTTGTACTTTAAAAGTACTTATTTTGGAATTTTGACCACTTATTTTTGCTTATATTGTTTTTACACCGACGTTTTTTTAGTTACCATGACAACAAACTCGTTTTAAATAGTTAAGCTTTTTTTCTGTAGTTAAAACCACCAGCACCACTTTCACCACCACGACTTTCACCAAATACACATTGTCATCTAATCGGTCTCGTCGCCCAAAGTTTGCTTTACACATGGAGAAACCGACCACAAATTTTCGAAGCTGTTGTTGCTCTCATGTTTTCACCTCGGTGGTCGTGACGAGGGGAAAGTTTGCCATTCTGTGCGTGAAGGATGTCGCTGCTCACTTTCTCCTCGTGATTTTGCCCCCTTTGCGCCACATCTTATGGCACACAGCCTGCTTTGATTCCAGTTAATTGCACAGTATAGAAATCCACCATGGAACCTCAATTTATTTCTCTTGTGAAGTCAGTCATCGTAATTGGAGCGAGGCTTGGTACATAGACATGAAATTTAATCCATCCCTTTCATATTAAGGGTGCATTTTGATCGTCGGATTGGGAATAGTATTTCACTACTGAGTTTTTTTTTCATCTGGCTAAAAATTTGAATGGTTTTCTTGTAGAAAGCTGGCCATATTTTGTACATAGAAACGTTATGCAGAGCGATTTGTGGGGAAAATTATGCGCAAAATTATGCACATGCAGATGAAATGCATAGGATTTTCGGCGGGATTATGTAAAATAAATTATGCAAAATACATTATTTGTCGAGCTTTTGTGCCTTATTTTCTCCAGAAAGATTTTATGCAGAGCGATTTGTGCAAGAAGCTTTGCAGAATTATAAGTTCTTGAGAATGAAACCAATACTCATTTTGTAAAGGATTATGTAAAAAAAATAAGAAAAATACAATGCGCATCAAAATTTTGTCTATTACTGCACAATTCCACGCAGTACTTTCTACTTAGAAAGTTTCATCAAAAATGTAATGAAATAAACCATTTCTTGAGATTTATTATTCAACCAGAATTAAGCTAAAAGAAGACAGTTGACTGATTTTATGATAAAAGAACTTGATTACGTAAAACCCTGAAATTATTTTGGACCAAAAGATAAGTGTCCTTATTGCACACCCTGTTCGCCAAGGTGCAGTTTTCTCCCCCCTATTTTCTCCGCCTGCACTGCATCATGTCTCCACTTTGCAGTGTTTTCGAAGGGCTGTCGTGTTTTTAGAGAGTGATAAATCTCCTTGTAAAGAGGATCGAGTGTGTGTAGCGGATCGACTTTCTCTTCTACACTTTCCCTCCATCATTATTATTTTCACATCCTCCACAAATTGATTTCTCTTCGAGAGACCAAACCCCCGCCTACTTTCCACTTTCCAGACAGACGAGCCAACTTCGTAGTGGGGCATGCTAACTTGGTAATAAACGGTATGCTAGCCGTATTGAATAATATGTTTTGTGACCAATTTTGGTAACCAGAGTTTATTGGTAAAGGAGTATTACCAAAATTATAATTTCACTTGACCCTATCGGGGTACCTTGAAGCTACAAAACTAAAATTCCTGTATTTAGTGCATATTTTATGTCCAGTTTTATCTAACTGATTGATAACAAGAGAGTTGAGCTTGGTGGTGAAGCAGTATTACCAAAATTAGAATTTGAATAGTAAAATTCGGTGAGGTCACATATGTGCCAGGATGGTATTGATTTGGTCGTAATTTCCTACCGGGTTGGTAATAAATATCTTGTTTATGAGTGGTAAATTTTTCATTGACACAACTCTATTAACGGTAGAGTCATATGTACACGTACTCTGGAGAGTAATGATACCATTTTTCTAAGAGTGCCAACTGTATTGAATTTGCCGTGACCAATTTTATCTGATTCGTAATAAGGAATTTATTAGTAAAACAGTCTTTACCAAATCTAAGATTTTAATAGAACACTTGGTGGAGCTACTGAAATTACAATTTATAAATTTAGCAGCAAAACTAGGTAAGGATTTTATCCCAAAAATATATGAACTGAAGTAGAATATTGCAAATAATCCGGTAATAAGCATGACATTAAATTCGAGGAATAACGGTATCTTGGTTACCACCAAGTTGTTGGTAATTGGTAAATCAATGTTACCAAAATTACAATTCGTACCAAATTGGAGAAGGATTGTGATTTTGTCCCCAAATTACAAACCCTTAAAAATAATGAAGTAAGTGAACTAGTGAACGCGACTCGTCTGTATTTTACCCGGAGGAGAAAGTCAGCTCATTTATATATACTTTCTCAATCTCCGGATCCAGGCAAATTGCACAATCTGATTTTTTTCTAGAAAAAACAGCGTGACATATTTTCCTTCTCGACGAAATGATTCATTACTTCCCGCCATGACGCCGACAGCTATTGCTACCTCGTCCAGATTATGAGGACATGCTCATAATTTCCTGGCTTACTTTACTTTCTCCACTCATTTTTTTGCTCGGGATGAGGGAAAAAATGTGATTAATTACTACTCTCACTCTTCTTCCACCATAAATCTCGACTCGTAGTCATTAAATTGTGCAGGGTTTCGGTGTGGTTTTAACCATTGTCTAAAACTGGTTGAGTTTCGGATACGCTGAATTTTGAATGTGAATTTGAAAAGTGTTTCAAAATAGAAAATGGTGCAAAATGTGGCAAGTTCTTCATTACTCAATCGTTGAATAATTTGTTGACATGTTTTGAATATTTTGTTGCGCAATACGGCCTGGTTTTGAAAATTTCTTACGTAAAGAACTATGTTAAAACAAAAGTTTTTCCAGATTTCCTGGTATTATAAAATCAAAATGTACAAAATTAATGGGAGATTGTGATTATCTGTACGTACATAGATTTGCGAAGGTCGTTAATGAAGAACTCGTAGCATTTTGCCCCGTTTTGCAATGTTGTATGTTTTTGGGCAGCTTGGGACTCTTTTGGACATTATACACAGTTCGAGGCGCTTTTGGACATTTTGGGACGCTTTTCGACAATGACGCTTTTGGATATTTTGGACGTCCAAAATTATTTCTCCCAGTTTTGTCTACTTTTAGACAGCCTCCAGTCCAAAACTACTTTTGGCCTTGCACAACGAAACACTGGATATACGAAATCTCTCTCTAATGGACCCACCTGAACTAATATTTAGTGCCAGCTTCACACATACGTGCCGCCGCTAAGAATTCCTCGCTTAGTGAAAGTAATCTCTCTGTTTATTTGCTTTCCTCAAATCTCATCACGACTATTTTGGGCTCCTATCGCGTGTCAGAATGCAGTAAAATGTGTAATTGTTGACCCAGTTGTTTTTACACTAAAATCCATTATTAGACACACGAGATATGAACGAATTACATATTTTGAAAGGCGAGATGTGCCTAGAAAATTATTTGTGCGAATGACGCATGAAATTTCTCCCTGTGTGTGAAGGGCGGACGGAGAGAGAAAGTTACACAAGATGGATAAATACACCCTTAAAAAATCTGGTATTAAATTATTACTGGCCGGAGTACACTATTATCACCGTAATAACGAGCATCATCATTTAGTAATGTTTTATTACTGAAAAATTTACCACCCAGAAACTAACTACTACCAATCCGGTAGGAAATTACCACCAAATCAATACCAGTACGGAAACTCTACCAGATTTTTGACAGTGCACGTTACATAACGGGCTCCAGCTTCCATTTCGTTATTACGGAGAGAGAGAGAGAGAGATTCAATTTGGTGCCTGCCCTGCCTTTCTCTTCATTAGGTTTCGTTTCCCATTTCACCAAATATGTAAGCACCTCCGTCGGGACGAAGGTTCTCTGTCGGAGGAGGCTATGCACGTAAATTTGTAAATATTCATGGGACGGATGGATGGATGAGCAAGTTCATATCGCAGTTGTGATGGTGATGACAGCGGAATTATTTATGTAACAGGGTCGATGAGACGGGCAGTAGGGATGTGATGGATTTTGTACGTTTTGAAATTTGGTATGGAATACTTTCCCTGCAAAAGAGAAAGACGTCATCCTTCCTGTGCAGCCCTTGGTTGTGTAAATTCATTCAAATTTTAAATGGTGTGCCTCTACATTTTCGAAATGTCAAGGTTGTTTTATATTTGGGGGTTGTTCATAAATTATGTATTTTTTAATAGAGAAGTTGAGCTGGAGAAAATTTTTGTGATTGTGGTAGCAATTTTGACTGTAGATGGATTACCTGTTATATATTTACAGTCACAATTATAATCACAGTCAGAAAAAAATACTCCTGCGCAACCTCTCTAATAACGGAAAAACCGCAATTTCATTATAGAGTTAGATCTCCACCTCTCGCGTTACACAATTTATGAATGGCCCCTCGTACAAAACCTGATTTTCTCCCCTAATCTAGTTTCGTTTTAAGCAAGTTTTGTATTTTATTGGGAACAATGATCTCTCTCATTTACGACTTGTATTGTTAAAATGTCACACTTTCTGGTGAGAGAGGAGACTGTTTCGTTTGGGACGCGGAGATCGTGACGAAAGTGTGATTAGGGCGACAGGTCCTATATTCCCCGCCTGTCAGGAGAAGAGTGCTTTCCTCATATTTATTTATGATCGCTGTAAACGGGAACATTTCCAGATTCATTCTGGTTTAGAGCGTAAACCAGCCAATATTTCGAACCTAAAATATTCATAAGTTTTCAGAAATTCGGGATTTCCTTCTGGAAATTTTATCTTTTTCAAAATATTTACTTATTTTGATTCCTTCGCGGAACATTGATTGAGTGAAACTTTCTCTATAAATGGGATTGAATGGAACGAATTATTTCGAAAAATGGTAAAATTGGTGCAAACCACGGAAACAAATATATTTTTAGACCCATTTTGTTTGTAAGTTTTCCTAACTAATTCCGCATTCAATATGTAGTTTTCTTAAGAAATGTACGTATAGGATTTATTGGACGGAATAAACACTGCCGAAATAGACAAAGTGTACAAAAAGTAGGCACATCAAAACCTTTGAGTTTATCGCGTCAAGAGAAAACCTCATCAAAAGGAGGCCTTCAAATAGACGAGACGGATTTCGTGTGTGTGGTGAAAGTGGGACTCAATGAGAAACTGAAACCTTTCATGTGTGGACGAGAATCTGCTCATCGACAGACACCCGTCTGAAAATCTGAACGGTTTTCGTGCAGAAATTTGGCCCGATTTTGTGCAGATATGTATGCAACTCAATTTTTTAGAAAATATTTACGAAAAGAAACTAATGCAGGAAACTTTGCAGAATTATGCACGTTACAATTCTGCAGAATAAAACAGATTTTTTGCAGGATTATGTAAAAAAAAAAAACAGCTTTCCTGTAGAAATTTTCTGCTTAAATTTATCCCGATTTTCTACAGAAAAACGTTATGCAGAGCTATTTATGCAAGAAACTCTACTCAGAAATATGCACATACCGGTCTGCAGTATAAATCCCATATAAAATTTGTGCAAAATTGTGTAAACAAAAAAATTATGCATATGTATCGAGCCTTTGTCGATTACTGCAGAATTCGATGCAGTTATTTTGGGCAGAATCATCAGCATGGCCAGAAATGATTTATTTCTAAATACTCTTTATGCACGACCCCCTCGCATAAAGTGCTAAGCGTGCCCGTAGTACTGAAACTATGCACACATTTGGTGGCAACTTTGGAATCTCGAGAGAATAAAATATCCGTGGAGAAAGTAGGCTCCAACTTTTTTTACGCAGCGACTTTTCAAAACCAGCGGGAACTTTGCCTTCATCCGAGTATAAAAAAGAGAGAAACAACAACAAAAAGTTGTGGATTGGGTGGCTCCTTTTTTTGAGTGCAGTTGATTGATGAGAAAGTTGGAAATAAGTCTAAACTCTAAATAATCTGGGGAAAATGATGCATCACGAATTAGTCGGGTGTTGGAATTTTGTGGCAAAGTAGTAACATTTATGAAAAATGTAGATCGTTACAAAATCCAATAATGAATTTTTACCCCGAGTAAAAATGTGAACCGCTTTTCTGCAGTAATTTGGCACGATTCTGTGCAGCAAAACTTAAGGCAAATTGATTTCGGAGAATTATGAACAGAATTATGCACATCGCGTTCTACATAAAATTATGCATAAAACGTATAGAAATTTTTGTCAGTATTATATCAAAAAAGTATGTTCAGTATACATTGTGCTTATACAGATTATTGCAGAACTCTACGTAGTGATTTCTACTCGGGGGAAAATGAGTTATTTTATAATTAACTGCTTTATTTAGAGTGTAATAACTTGACACTGGCGCAAAATGGTGCTTGTAGTGGTGTTCGCGGTGCTGGTGGTGATTAACTTGGAGAAATTTTATTATATTTTTAGAAATTCTGTTGTAATTTAGTTGAGCGATGAACTAGTGAGAAAATTTTTAGTAGAGGAACGACATTTGATTATGAAGGGTCCCGAATTGGAAAATAATACCAATTCGAATACCTGACCTCGCCTGGTTTGCTTTTAAACCTAATATTTTTTGTCTTAATAAATCGCGTGTATTTTTGCCTGATTTAGTTATTAAACTAAACATAAATAATCCTGTATAAAACCATTTTAAATAATTTTTTGTCATGAATTTATATATTTTTGTGTTTTTATGCAACTTTTAGTGACTGATGGACACCTACCTGTCCCGTTGGCACCGGAAGGTCGAATCTTGTTGTCGTACGTCCCACTCAAAATGTGGTCGAGAATCAGCTTCTCTCTCTGGCGTGGATTGTCCTTCGCCGTGTCCGCCCCACTGAAAAAAATCACATGTCTCAAAATTGGTAAATACTTAAAAAATACGGGAGCAGAACTTAACCGTATTTTTCAAATAAAGAAGTATGTCCCGAATAATGTCAAATTTTGCAGTAATCGACAAAAGTTGGATTCATGTGGATAATTCTTTTTGTTACATAATTCTACCCAAAATTTTTAGTTTTTTTAAAAATTCTGCCAAACTGTATGTGCAATTTGCTACAGAAATCGCTCTGCATAACATTTCCGTAGAGAAAATATGCCAGATTTTTGCAGGAAAGTAGTTAAAATTTTTACTCCAGGCGTGACATTAGGGAGAAATTATTGAAAAAAGAAAGAAAGCCGACTCACAAGGCATATTGGGGAAGGATGACGGCCTGCAAGACGAGGATGAGGATGACAAAGTAGAGTCTTCTGAGCGACGCGGTGGGCAGCATGAGTGCACGTTCTTCTGGGCAGAACCACATCACATTCCTTCACGACCTCCTCCCACCAAGCAGGACACAAATCTGCAAATTAAACAGAAATACGTGGTCAAATCTAGAAATTAGAGAAAGTAATGAAAGACAATAATTAATCGGTGGCCATTTCCGACTACGACTGGCGAATCTGAGGGAAAGTTTTGCCCGGATTTGGGGGGCTGAACGGGAAAAATGTCGCCTGGAAGTTATAATGAACGTATCCCAGCGTATGTTCTCCGATTTTGAGCAAATTAGTGTCGCTTTATCACAAGTGCGAATTTTGCAAAAGACACGATCTCCCAATGAACACGTTTGGCAGAGATATTTGCATCCGAAGAGGAGAAAACGCTCAGTAAATTTGGAAAGTGTAAAATTTGTCGACTTGTGTGTGTCGAAGGTGTGTTTTCTCCTTTTCGGATGCAAATATCTCTACGAAACCTTCACATTAGGAGATCGTATCGTTTGCAAAATTTCATATTAATAAAAATTTGTGATCGATTGACACTAATTTGTTCAAGATGGGAGAGCATAGTCCATTTTGAGAGGAGAAAACGTGACAAGCACATTCTTGATGGAGTGGCCCCACGTGTCGGGTGTAGATTGGGGATGTCATGAGAGAGGAAAATGATTTAATCGGTCACGATATCACGACCGCTTTCACTCGCTAGAAAGCAACCTTTGGATTAATGAAGTAATCAAATGGGCTGGGTTTCTTTCGGATTTTGATGGAAAATCTATTAATGGCATGACACATTTGTGAATAATTTCGCTGTTATAAAGGATTTCCTAAATTGTGTAATAAAATTATCAAACTTGTATTGTGAACAATATTTTAAAAACATCTGCAGAAAATTAATGCACAAAAATGTTGTTAATAACGCCAAACCAAAAACCGGAAAAAGTGCAGAAAAATGTGCAAAAATAACTTTAATGCAGATAATATTGCAATTTTTCCAAACCCTTGTTTAATTAAGAAATTATTCCGTCATTTAATGGTATTTTCTGGTTTATATTAGAAATCTTCGCAATTTGTGAATATTTATTTTTTAAAGTGTTGCCTTGTTATGGAAAAAATTACAGAAATCGTAAAAAATTCAATTTTGCAAGTTACAAAATTTCCATGTTTTTTTGTTAAATTACTCTCCAAATTAATAACACCATAATTTAGTATAAACACATTTGAAAATAAAAACACGGAAATTTTATTATATTTAAACCCCCCGAAAAAAATGTAAAAATTACGCTGTTCTTTTCCTGCTAAATGATGGATCCGTGTAATCAATCAATTCTATTTGATTCGTGGGTCGGCGTAGAAAATTACTTGCTTTCACCTCGACGTCGACGCGATAGTGATTCTGCAGGTGTCCCGACTTTCCCCATTTTATTTTCTGAGGTAAAATATAGTTTTATTTCTTGGCTCCCTTCCTTTCATCTTTTACGAGATCTGACAAGTGCGAGGAATTAAAGATTTTATACCATCATCAAAGAGGGGACGGGCAGTTAGAATGCCGGGATTTCTTTGCGCTTATATTTTTATATTAAGCAAAATCCACAGACAATTAAAAATTATCTTTAATCACATTTGGTAAACATCTTAACAATCTTAACAGTGAATTTTTCTCCTACTTTTTTACCACAGCCAAATTAAGTAGGTTGGAAAAGGGGGGAATTTATTTACTTTTCCCGTTTTTTTTACCACCGTTCAAAATAGGTAGTCGGAAATGGGAAGAAAAATGTAGTTTTACTCTTGGTCACGTATTGAATGATCCACTCGTATCAATGGCCAACCACCGATTTCCTCCATTTAGGTAAACCCACCCACTTTCTCCCAATGCTTTGGGTGCAATTGCAAAAAATAAGGGCGAGAAAGTGGTTTCATACGGCTAAATATTTGGACCTGCAAGAAATTCAAGGCGTTTAAGAAACTACTTCCTGCCGCGGCGAGTGGCCAGATGGCTCATGTTTCTTTTGCACCTCTCACTTCTTGCATTTCTTGCATTGCAGTGCAAGAAATGTTGAAAATTTCCAAAAAAACGAAACACTGCTTTCTCCCCCTCTCCTGGGAAGATCATGTCCTGGGACAGATGAAACTCTGCTACGGTACACGCTCCAAATGTGGCCTTCTTTCTCCCACTCGTTTGGAATTAGCACTTAAGCACGAAAAGTGAAGCTCTCTTGTAAAAACGGGAACAGTTTTGGGGAGAAGTGCGCAGGGAGAAAGTCCTCCCCACTCCACGGCCCACTCACCACTTAACTCGCCCCATACGTACACGAGGCACGAAATTGAGAGGTACTTCTGCCTAAAAGCGATAGTCCTTCAATGCACATAAATCCAACCAGGTGGACGGAAAGTGGGACGATTTCATCCCAGAAATTAAATCTTGGGTGGCGAAAAAAAATCCTGGTATTTTGGGCACGGAATTAATTAATTTATGACAATATTCGCTATATATTTAAGGGCATGCATAAATGTCTTCCATTCTATGAATTCCGGTATATACGCGACTCTATGACCGCTTTGGTAACAATTTATCGTCGAAAGATAACACATACATATACACACATAGGTAGACTAAATCCTGCTCAGCCCAAAATGTCAGTGGTAAGAAAAATATTACCGACACTGGAGGCAATTCTTTACACTCAAAAGACAACTTTCCACTATAGTGTTACCACGCGGTAGAATTGCATACTACTTCCGCGGGTAACAATCGTATCACAAAATTATTCACAGTGTGATTGAGCTACTGGTAGATTATTTCCATAGCGGTTGGGTATTATCACTACCCGTCGGTAATAATTTAGTAATAAAATTTCTTTAAGCGTGGGAAGCAGTAAATTATCACAGTCGTCTTCATTAGATCGAACCTAAGCGAAATTCGTGCCATGTCGAACGTAATTCGAATCCAGGTTCGAGTTTTAACCCACATTTGACCCAAATTTGCCCCAAATATGAATCCGCTCTCCACACCTGGCAAAGTTTTAGATATTGTGAAAATCTCAACGACCGGATGTTGTTTCTCATACGATGGGAACTTTCGGAGAGAGAGAAAGTCTGACAAAGACCCGGCTTAACTTTCACTCACTTGCTTTAGGCGTGCAAACAAGGGTAGTAAATATTTACTCTGTACTCGACTCACTCACTAACGCTTCACCTACATAGCTCCACCAATGAGGAAAACTAAACGATCAAATTTTTCATACATTTTTAGAAAATAGGTTTGGAATGCGTCAAAAATGGGTACGAAATTTGTCTAACAATCTAAGTCTCCGCTTACACATTTTGAGCAAATTAGTGTGGCTCGATCACAAATTAAATTGAAATTTGTGAAGACACGATTTCCCAATGGGCACGTTTGGCAGTGATATTTGCATCCGAAGAGGAGAAAATGCGCTGTAGAGTTGACAAATCTTACATTTTCTAAATTTACTAAACACCTTCTCCTCTTTGGATGCAAATCGCTCTGCCAAACGTGCCAATTTGAAGATGTCTTTCGCAAATTTCATACTAATTTCATTTGTTATCTAGCGACACTAATTTTGCTAAAAGTCAGTGATAATACGGTGGGAGACCTCCATTCTCAGTCCGAGAATCTCAGATCAACTCGGGTTGTAGTAACTACCAGGAATTTAGTGTGATTAGTTAATTTTTTATAGAGAAATTCAAATTTTTTCCAACGAAATTGAAATTTTTACAGAGAAATTTTCTTATTCTGACTTTCCTACGTGTCGAACGATACCAGCGAATGTCACATAAAGTTGGAGAAAGTCGTTGCAAATATATATAAAAAGACCAAGTTTAACTTCATCCCAGGGGGTGCACAGCTTAATTAACTGTTCCATAGAAAAATAGGAATTAGAGAAAAATGTCAACGAATCAAATCCCTGATTAGAATTGAGCAATGCACGCACTCGAGAAAACGAGGCGGCACTAATTGCATTAGCCTTTCTCCGCCTAGCTCAACAACTTTCTCCGTGAAGCAAGAAAAATGAAAGCACAAAACACTGGAAGGAATAACAAAATCGTTTATTCCTTCCTTTTCACAATTTAGTTAAAGCAATCTCTTTCTTTGACTCTTTTTTGGGCCCGAAATTTGTCAGATTCTTGCAGTGTTTGGCGTGTAGGAAACCACTTGCAAGAAATAATGGCAAGAAAGTGGTTTCTTGCAGGTAAATATTTTGACTAAACAGAAATTGAGGGCGCAAGAAACTCATGGTGGGGCACGTTTTTTGCAGTTTTGGAATATTTCTTACACTTTCCCCCAGTTTCTTGCACCTTGCATTTCGTGCGATTCTAGCTTTGCAATGCAAGAAATGTAGCAAACCTGCACGGAACGGAACACTTAATACGGTGGGAAAAAGTGGAATTTACAGTCAGTCTCGGTTGCAAGAAATAGCCCTTGAAAGTGGTTTCTTGGAGTTAAATATTTTGACTTGCAAGAAATGTGACAGCGCAAGAAATTATTAGTTCATACGCCGCCTGACTAGATGACGCATATTTCTTGCAGTTTGGGCATATTTGTTGCACTTTTTTGCACCCCACAATTCTTGCGCTGTTTGCAGTGTAATGCAAGAAATGTGGCAACCTGACAAGAAGCGAAGCACTGGGTTCTCGACTAAAATTGAATTTGCATTCGGCGAAAGTTTTGCTTTGCTTTGAAGAACGTGACGCATTTTGGAATATTTTGAGATTAAATTCACACTCGGGATGGAGGAAAGTGAGCGTAAAAGAGTGCATCGAATAAGTGTTTCGACTTTCCCTAATCATAACTTGATTACCGAGTTAACTTTGGCAAAAGTGATTTTCATGGTGCACAAGTTTGTCGAAAGTTTTCAAACACATTATTATTTGTCACCAGGAGGATTAGAGTTTAGAGGAATAAAATTATCTCGGTTTTCAAGATATGATTTCACTTGGAATTTATTATGACCAGAGGGCGGATATGTATTTATTGTTAACTTTTTCATTTGATGGCGATAACCCAGGGTCAAACTTTATGCGTGGGCTCCCTAACTTGCAGAGATCACAAAAATTTCGAAATATTTTA